TGATCGAGGTCCATCCTATACGGTAAAGTCCTAAAGATTCAGTTGCTCTTCAAGAATTTGAGCTACGGTGCCATTATGAAGAAGCCATATTGTTCGCTGTTGTGCTAAGTTAGTCCTAGTTCCTGAACAGCATCCCTGAAGAATTTGAACTGGTTCTAGGGTATTGTATGAAAGGGTTATGAAGGGATGCTACTCCTGAGCATGCAGGGTTTTTGCGTGTACCAGACTATTCAGGCAATTCAGGCTTCTCCTCAATCCTCAACCCTAAACCCCAAATCTCAACCCCTAAATCCACTCTAAGCCCTACACAACAAGTCTAAACCCCCAAGTGAAGTCTTTGAAAGGCCGCCCTAGCTGCGCCTCGCTGGGTCACGCCGGCCAACGCGGAGCGTCGGTGTTGGCCATCCTATGCATGATTTGACCTAGGGCTAAGGATTCAGGGTTTAGGGTTTAGGGATAAGCCCCACTATAGAGTAAAACTACATCCTCCCTTTTGGGTATAGTATTGTGTAGCATGATTTGACCTAGGGCTAAGGATTTAGGGTTTAAGGTTAAGGGATAAGCAGTCCCCACTATAGAGTCAAACTACATCCTCCGTTTCGGGTATAGTATTGTGTAGCAAGAATATAGTCTGACCTGGTTTAGCCACTAGCCAAAACTAGTTTGTGACCGTGGGGCATGGACTTTCGTTTTTAGGTTTCCTGCGTAGGCCTACACCCTAAACCCTAAATCCTAAACCCTAAACCCTAAATCCTAAGGGTTTGGGGTTGGGGGTTTGAGGGTTGGCGAGGTCGGGAGTTATGGAAGGGCTTGGGGTGCATTGGTTCAGGGTTTTGGGTGGAGGTGATAGGGATCCTACTGTTAGAAACTCGTGACCATACTAGGGTTTAGGGTTTAGGGTTTAGGGTTCATTGTGTCCACACTTTCAGATACCACAAAACTGAACCCGCTGCAATGTAGCATTTACGTATCATGCAATCTTGAGTGCGCCAGAGTTTTCATGCCAAGCCAGTCCTTTGCATCTTGACATGTTAGCAGAGGAGGGGTCAGACGCTTTAGGCGTTCACCTCGTGCTTCGAGACCGGCAGAAAGGTATCTACCTTGTTTTGGCAAACTCTAAACCCTAAACCCAGACTGGCTATGTTACAAGGCAGATGCTAAGCTTTTGGAGTCGTGTAGGCTTGTGCGCGCATGCTAAGTGCCTGAAGGTTCTCACCAATCCCCTCACCTTGAGTCCCTGGGCACCCAACATCTCCATGAAAACCCTAGCCTGGCTCCACTAATTTCAAGAAAGTCCAGTCCCTCCATACCCCTCAACCTTGCACAAATCGTACAGAAGCTTCCTAAAGAGATCCTTCATTCTGGGAGCTTCCCTCCGATCTTGCTGACTAGTGGTTAGTAGGGACTAAGGGAATTTCATCCCTATATAATCCCCATATGAGCTATAGTCTAAACTCCTTAAAAAAGGGGTATATAGGAGATTATATAAGGGACTACTATTGGGGCTATTAAGGGGGGATACTAGGAGTTTAGACTATAGCTCATATAACCCTAATATACTATAGTAGTTTCCATTTTCTTTTCCATTATCCCTGTATAACCCTAAACCACTAAACCCTAAACCCTAAACCGTAAACCCTAAACCATTATCCCCTACGTAACCACCAGTAAGCTCGGGAGCTGGTGTTTGCTAGGCTTCGCGGAGGTGTTGTGCACCTGCTGTCCGCGTCCCGGTTGTTGCCTCTTTCTCTTCTCGCTACACTCCTGGAAACTAACATGGAAACCCAAAAAGGGCTCAATAAAGACTACAGTCCTTCTAAAAGGGGGCTATATGGGTTTCCATGTCAGTTTGGGGGAGTGTAGGGGGCTGGAAGCAGTCTTGACCCATACATTTTAATACAACTTGACAGTGCTTTGTAAAAATGGAGTGTATAGGCATGAGAGGGTTGGTAGATGGATGCTAGTTTTTGGGGGACTAGGTGCGCAGGAAGGTTTTAGCCCAGGCATCAAACATTTGATGGAATTTTCCACTGCAGGGGTTTGCGTCGCCTTCGTCAAGCACCAACCCTAAACCCTAAACCCTAAACCCTAAACCCTTAAACCCTAAACCCTAAACTTTTCAGGCTTAAAGCCGCCCATAACAAAGATCGGTATTTGCTAGCCAGCGCAGCATCAGGAAAATTTGGGTTTAGGGTCTGGGGTTTAGGGTTTAAGGGTTTAGGGCTTAGGGTCCTGTGTTCATTTTCAAGGTAACACCGGTGCTAGGTCTGTCTCTTTCAAGGCTCGCTGAGCTTTCGGATGTGCAGCTCCCATGATTTCAGCCGCGAGTTTGTATCAAGTGCACTGCCTACAAGCCGAAGTAGTATTCCTTCGTGACAGTTGGGATATTCTTGAAATTATGGACCTTTCTTGGTTCTAAGTTATATTACGGCACCAAATATTTAGGGTACCAAGATAGGACCCTAATTTTGGGAACTCCCAGTTGGTCTTGCATGATGCGCAATCTATTCTTTCCGGGCTTTCCAAGAGGAAGTACACGACAAGAGCCGCTCCAGAGCCCACAAGGTTAAGGTTTAGGGATGAGGGTTTACAGTAGGGTTTATGGATTTAGGGTTTTGGGGTTTAGGGTTTATAGGTTGAGGGTTTAAGGTTTACAAATACTGGACAAGTCTTGATGAAGGTTTCTACACACCATTCCGTAATCAGCTCGATGAATCTTCTTACATGTGCATGCTGTTCTCGGGCAACTCCGCATCTTGCGTATGTGTGAATTTTATAGTCTGGGATCCTTTGGCGATCTTGTGGTCGGGAGCTGCTTGCCTTTTCGCCTTCTGGGAGGATGGGAATAATCAGGTGTTTTCAGGACTATGCTGTACCGCGGATGGTTGCTTCGCAAGCATCCAGAATGGGACGTTGCTGGGATTTTGGAAGTGCTGCCCTATTCCTTCTAAGAAGCAGCGGCCATGGGCAACTATACTGGAAAAAGGTATTCATTCCTTCAGGGACATGGAACCGCAGGGCACAAAAGGGCGAGCCTGAACCCCATGGACTCCCGAACCGCCTGGGTTCTAAGCTGTTTGATCTTCAGCCTTCGTATCCTAAAGCGGTAGATACCTGAACATTTAAGCCCTGAAGGTCTAGTCAGGTGCCACCTTCTCAAATTTGGATGCGACGCTTGCTGCTGGCCAAATCCCTCAATCCCTGAACGATCAAATCCTCTACACCCTAGCCTTAACCGCCTTAATATTAGACAAAAGAAACACAAGCTACCATGTTATCTAATGTAACCTAGCACAATACAATAGAAGATATTAAAAGATAAGATCGACTGTAATGCAAGATGCTGTGACATGGTACCTGGGCCTCTTAAGTAGGTAAACAAATAGCCCCTTAAACATAGTCAACAAGGTTATCGTTCTACATAAGTTCGGGGGTTTGGGTATTCAAGTCCGGAAGCCCCATACATCCCTACACACCCGTATATATATATATATTCACATAAACATTATATGTCCCTGTACACCTTTTATATATATACATACACATATACACATTGTATAACCCTGAAAAGGCTATTTTGGGGATCCAGTAGAAGTTGAATGAGGCCAAAGCCGCGAGAAGGCGAACCCCAGCAAATTTCCCTGCAAGAGGCAGGGCCTTGGGCATAGGGTTGTCTGCTCGGAGGTTCGTGGATAATTATAAGTGGGCAACTCCAACATACACTTACATCCACAACCCCTACGTACACCCTAAACCCCTAAACTCTACCCAATGAACCTCCAAGTATACTAGGATGTTTCTCAAGGTTCGGGGCTTCAGGCGTGGCGCAGGCTGGCCTAGACAACCCAGCAGCCCTTGCCACTATTTGTTTGGAGGAATTACCTTGCCATTCTTGGGGGTCTTCCTTAGTAGGTTGCGTCCTCAGCCCGAAACTCTCAACCCCAGGGTTGCAAGGCTGGGCGTAGTGTTGTTCCGGGAAAGAGAGAGGTAGGTACCTTGGTCTCCAGGACAGCCCCCTCTCAGGTATCATTATTGGGGTTATATAGGGAATAATGGAAAAGAAAGTGGAAACTACAGGGATTCTAGGGTTTATATAGGGGTTATACAGGGATTATAGGGTTATATTAGGTATCCAGCAAATATCCTGCCAAAGAAAGAACTTGACTCCGCAAGTAGGCGTCCGGGTTCAATGGTTTAGCTTAGTTTCGATTGAGCTTGGAAGCCCAAGCCGCGCATCCCCACGCTCCAGTGCCTTGCAACCTATTTCCCGCAGGTTAATGCAGGAACCTGAAACGGTAGGAGTAAGTATGTTCATATCTCCAAAGCCCGATTCTTGTCATTCAGACGGTCGAGTTTGAGCTAATCACTTGGTAGAATTCTTTTACTAGGGCGTCCTCTGCTCCTCACTAGGGTGTAAGATTACACCCTCTTTTAAGCTGCAAGAGGAATATCGTATTTTCCACCAAAAAAAAGCTGCTCAACTTGGAATTCTGGACCCCAAAAGCCAGAGAGCCCATTGAGTTCTCAGTCTGCAATTCTCCCAAGGGCGCTGGCCCCAGGAGGATTTGTAACAGAGTTTAGTTCTCCTCAAGTAGATCGACTTTGTAGGGTGGTTCACTTCATGATCATTATTTTTCATGATGCTTCCTGATGCATGTTGCGCCTGATGGGTCTTTCACAGCCGAAAGTGTGCCGGCGTTTGGATTCACTTGGATGGCATCAACATCGCACGTGTATGCGAAAAATCACTCTGCTGATTAATTGCTGCTTCCAACAAAAAAGGCATACAGCAGAATGTTAGGGTCCAAACGGTAGCTGGAAGCAAGCAAGCACTAGCCTGAGACCGTCCGCTTAAACCCAAAACAGCCCCTGACCCCTGAACCTCCGCCACGTAGACCCCTGAAGAATAACCTCCCCTTTGAAGGGGCTGATATTCGGATCCCTCCTATAAGGGAGGGAGTTTATTAATCACGGGTCTACATCAACCATGGTTTTCTGAGGCTCTGCGCCGGCTGCGTGGGGAAGGTTCACCTGCCCGAGGCGTGACGAATGGTTGAGAGATTCGGTGTGCATGTGAATCTAGACATAGTTCCCAAAATTAGGGTCCCATTTCGGTACCCCTTAATACAGGTGCCGTAATACAAATTTGATCCAAAAGGGCCCAATTTTGAGAAGAACCCAAATAATGGTTCAACTCTTTCGAGCCTGGATGCCTGGAACACCCAAATCCGTTTGAGGGACATCTGTTCGGCTTTGGATGGTTTACTGCTCCAGGGTAAGGTCAGGGATCACGTTTGTACCCCGCCACTGAAGATTCAGCCGGAATCCAGAGTTCCATCCCGTGAGCAGGCTTGACAATGAATTCTATCCCCAGCTGTGTTCAGGGCATGAGGAAGAGTGTTTAAACGTCAACTGAGGCTGCTGTACGGTTGAGAAAAAAAGATCCTGCGTTGTGCTCTAGAACCATGAATAATTACGATCATTCCCCTATGGTCTTTATGTTTATAGTATAGCATGCCCCACAAAAAGAGTCTCCAGAACCCCACCTTTCTTATGAAAGGCCTGGTGGCTGATCAATGTGGGTCGGAGGATGAATGTAAAGATGTGTGCCGTCTTCGCATTCATTCCGTCACGCTCCACTTGACTGCCCGGGCTGGGACGTCCACGCTGAGTTCATATGCACACTGCCACTGCCAAAAAACAAGTTTGCTTCAATCGCATGAGTAACATGGGTGGTTGTCAAAATCATGGTCCCTTTTTTTGGGTACCCCAAATATTAGGTGCCGTACTATAATAGGGACCCAAAAGGGACCATAATTTTGACAACCACTCGCATGCGTACAAGAAACCACCACCTTGATACAACCCGCAATTAAGGTCCTTGAAGAGGGGATAGATTTTTGCCAAGCCTGTAGAGCAGATACCGTATACTAGCTTCGCGTCGTGATAGAATTCCCTATGACCTGTAAATCCCGTGTGCCTGCACTTTGGCACCAAGAAGTCGCACAGCAAAGTCAGGTCGGCGTTTTTGAATGGAGAGTTCCGGACGGAATGAGATATGTGTGATTTCGCAACGAATCTATGTAAGCCCTAAACCCTAAACTTCTAGATCCCAGACTCTGCTTAGGGAGTCGTTATGGCCAACCTCTTGGCATACAAGCAAACTCTGGAGACCCGACCTTCCTTTGCAGAGAGAATAGGCTCCTACATTCAATACCTATAAACTCCAGTATCCTTTCCATTCCTTCCTTCTTTAGTAGTTCCAAAGGGCATAAAATTCTCAATCCTAAATAACCTCATCTTCCTTTTCATTTCCCGTGTTCTTGTTCAGTCTGTTCTCCATTATTGGCTATTAGACCCTCAAATCCTACAGAATCTCTATCTATAATGCCAAGATAACGCTTCGACATCCTATACAACTTGGGTTTTTCATTCATTCGGGTGATATTCTTCTGAACCCTCCGCATCCTCATATAGCCTTTGTATACCGCCCTGATTCTCCGTGTGGTAGTTGCCATGAATCAGGGGAATCCCAAAATAGATCCCCCAAATATTCAAATCCTTACTATGGGACCCAAGAGGTGCCCCAAACCCTAGGGTTTAGGGTCTAGGGATGTTCAGGGTTGAGGGTCTAGGGTTTAGGGTTTAGGGTCCCTAAAACCTGAAAACTCCCAGCTTAGTTCTATGACGAGGCAAGATGCAACAGGCCATCGAAGCCCGGCTGGAAGGCTCCCACATAGGAGATCACCCAAATGCTCCATGTAGCTATATGGTATATACTTGGTCCCTACAGTAGTTATATGGGACTTATAGGGATTTATAAGGATTATATAGGGATTTATAGGGGATTTATGGGGATTCTGTAGGGAGTGCATGGTATATACCTCGGCCCTAGAGTAGTTATATGGGAATGCCTTTGGACCCTGAGTATATACCATATAGCTACAAGGATCCCTTGGGTCATAGGAGTTTAGGGTTTAGGGGTTTAGGGCTCAACTTCTATTGGGATTCCGTAGGCTCTGAACCCTAAACCCTGTGGGGGGGTCAGGGGGGACTTAGTAAGAATTGGGTGTGGGGCTTAGGGTCGAGGGTGCGAGATTCGACTTTGAATGGGATTGCTTGGACGTTCGGGGCACTTAGAACCATTGACATCGCCAGATAACAGCCCATTCAGGAGGAAGCTTAGGTGATAGTGCAGAGGGGGGGTGCGGTCCAGGATATTTATAACCCTCTGACGATTGTAGTTTCAACCCCATTCTATGTATATTCGGGGAGTAGCTATATTGGGCTTTACGGTTTTAATGGTGCAAGGATTCTGATGTGCCAAAGCCCCAGACCCTTACAGTCCTCCAACATGAGAGAGCCTTTATTGGCGGAGTGGCAGCAGTTGATGGTTACATGTAAGTCCTGTGCAAACCGCATTTCCCATCGAACAAGCTGTGCTCAGCAGTTGTCAGTTCACTGTTCCTCATACAAGGGTTAGCCCCGCCATTGAATCCCACCAAGTCCTACATAATCCGCACTGCAGCCCCCCTGTGTTGGGAAAATTCCGGAGCATGACTCATGTGGGGTCTGTTGCAACTTAAATGAGCCCTTGCGTACACAAATACTTGTGATGCTAATGCTCTACCATTGTACCTCAAGCCAACCTTTGACCCTTGACCCTCAGATTTCCACCTCGAAAACACAAACAGTGTGCAATTTCATTGTGTCATTGTGACGGCACGATGTAGGAGAGCCTTTTTCTAAGAGTACTGGCTCTGGCATTTGGATGTTTTTATAAGGATAGCCAGGAGAGTCCTGGGAACTATGAGAAACATTGAAGCGGGGGCGTTCTTATTACAACAGCCTGCCAGGCTACCCGAAGCGAGCATACGAGCTCTCGAAGCATGTGGGGGCCCTGGCTTTGCGGGTTTTGGGTTTCGTTCGCCTTCCCTTCGTTTGGCTTTGGAGAAAAATTGGCACGAGTGGCTGTTGAAGATATACTTTCTCTGGCTCATTCTTCGGAAGGGTCAAATCTTTGAGCCATTCAAATGCGGGTCAGGCACCTCCCCCTTGTCAATTATAAATACCACGCTGCCTTTTCAGGTAGGAAGTAAAGCCGCCGCAAGATGCCTTCCAGCATCTTCTGGATGCGGTGAGAGATTTTTCTTGGCATGGCATTTGAACAGATGCTTGCTGCGGCGTATTCCTCGAGGTTTCGGTGCCACTTAAAGAAATCCAAACCTCAAATGATATCAGTCACCGGACCGGAAGTGGGTAGTATTGAAAGAGGCAATACTATAGTCCCTGATGTAGATTGTTAAATGTCATTTGGTTCCACCAGCGAAAAACCAAACCCCTAAAACCATTTCTCAATTTACCTCAGGTTGTGCGAGCGGTTCTGCCCGAGAGAGTGGCAAGGCTTTTGATCGCGCCGACCTCGGGCCAAAACTCATCTTGTGATTCAAGAAATGGTTGTCCGTGTAATGGTTTTCTTATAGTTGTCGTTCTTACAATTCTTAGTGCATAGTTTTTTATCGCTTAGCGTTCCGGAATTGCGTGGTTTTTAGGACGCAGGGTTTTATGGTTTGGGCTCAATCTATGGGACCTGGTGTGTGGGCGCTGAATGGCTTCCCTCGCCCATGTGTACCAAAAACAAGAGATTATACGCTCGCCTCTTAAGCGAGTTTAGGGGTTTGTAAAGGGTTGTATACGGGTATACGTAGCTATGAGTAGGGGATCTACTCCCCCAAGGAAGATGGAACCTCCAACAGGGCCCTTTGCCCAGCATTGTCCGTTTAGACAGTGGCTGCAGTATGGTTCCTTGTTAGTTTAGGAGAGGGTACGTTGTGCTTTGGGATTGTGGGTTTATCAATTCCAGGCCCCGACGACCCTAAATCGTAAACACTAACCCTAAGGCCTAAACCCTAAACGCTAAGTCCCAAAGAGTTCAGGGTTACAGCACAGCATGGAGCCTTTTCAATACAAATCCTCGAGTTCTTCAGTCAAGGGCCGACGTCATCCCCTGACTCCTAGAGTGTAGTGTCTATGCACGGATTATATGGGGTTTATGGGATCTATTTGGGGTGTACGGGGTGCAGGATTTACGCCATTTGTGGGGTTTATGGGGTTTATGCGGTTTATGGGGTTTACATAGGGTTTATGAGGTTGATGATGCTTATAGTGTTTATGGGGTTTGTAGGGCTTAGGGGGATATGTGGTGGACGTGGTTTATAGGGTTTAGGGGATTTATGTGGTTTATGTTTCTTTCTTGTTTTGTAGGCTTTATGTGGTCTATGGGTTTATGGGGTCTATGGGCTTCTGGCGTTTATGGGTTTACAGGGTTTATAGGATTCATAGGGTTTATGGCTGCCCCTAGACCGTCTTGGAAAATAATTTGCGGACTTGGGAATTATGCACTGGCCAGCGGCATGTGCCACGCTGGAGGCTAACTGGCGATCTAATAGCCCCACGGCCTTACATGGACCCCCTATATGCTATGTAAGTAATCCAGACCCCTGATTAATATAAACCCCCTCCCCTTAATAGGGATTATAATGGGGCTCCCAATATTAAGGCCCTTAAAAAGGAGCGGGTTTATTAATCAGGGGTCTACATTAGGTGAGAAGCCTAGTTCACAAATCAAGTGATAGATTCTCCGTTCTCAAGTGATCTTGAAGCCCAAGTTTCTAAACTCCGAGGCTTGAAGCTTGTCCCTAAATCCCGTGCCGACGCATGTAACCCTAGTATCCGAAACCAAAGCCCCTCTAGTGCCTGCACCTTCCTCCCCAGTCTGCAGACCTACACGGTTTAGGGGTTAAGGTGTTAGGCTTCAGGGTGAACCTTAAGCCCTAGACCCTCTTAATCCCAGTTCTTGGCGAGGCCTTCCCACAGCTCATCGCAGTTGTTTTGGATCATCTTCCCACTCCTCCGTCGCAGGGGTACCCATGGGACGAAGACTATGCAGTTGTAGCGTTGTAAAGGGGGGTTTCCAAAAGTGAGGTATAGGTATTTGGGATCTGGGTTTAAGAATGCGGGTTTAGGGTTAAGGGACTGGAGTTCAGAGTTTCTATGCGAATTCCACCAATGGAGGCCTCAATATGAACCCCAATATATCAGGATCCTTATTCTAGGGTCTCGCCCAAAAAGGCTGTAGTGGTTGAAGGTTTAAGGGTGCCCTTTGGGCTTGCGTAACTTGCACCCTGAAGGGGGGGCTGTTGAGGTTCAGAGGTCTTAGTTTTCCCCCCCTCTCTCAGGGTTTTAAGAGGTCATGAGGGCTTGAAGATTTGGATGGCTCTTCGTTTGTGTGAACCCTAAACCTTAAAACCCTAGTCTCGTGCTTGGCTTTGTAGTTAAGGGGCCTTGGTTGATGTACACTGCCAGGGCGCAGGATGCTCAGGTGTAACGATTTACGATTTTTCTTCCTACACCTTAGACAAGCCCAACCGTGGCCTTACTGGGGTTAGCAAGGAAATAACGGAATATATTGGAGTTATATAGGGATAATGGAAAAGGAAATGGAAACTACTAAGTTAGAATGGGGTATATGTTGGGGTTGGTAGGGAATAAGGGAAAATCGTATATAGGGAGTCTATAGGGATTGTATTCTCTTAGTTCTTGCTAACCACCAGTAAGGAGTTGAATCATCCAAAGCTCCATGTTTTGCACAGCCAGAGACTGAGGCGACCCAGGTCTTGCAGTAGTTTAGAGGCATGTATGGGATTCGAGGCTTTTACGGGGGACCTCTCTGTGTTTTTATCGCCTGTGGGGGCTTTTTCGTTGAACCTGAGGATCCAGAGGGCCAAAGATAACCTGCACCAAGCTTTGTCGCAATTCTAAAGCTGCAGCCTACATGCTACAACACTCAATCCTAACACCTTGAACCCCTAAATCATAGATCCCGGTCAACTTTGAGAAGAGCAATGATTGAAGTTGTGGGTCCTTTCTTGAAGGGTTCCGACGACAGGATCCAGATCCGCCAAGTACCCCTAAACCCTAAACCCCTTTCAGAAAGTTCCTCATCTGAACGGTTGGTCTGAGGCTCTCCAAAATAGATGATGAACGGGGATAACTGGGGCTAGCATGTGGCTCATGGAGGTTATATGCCAGAAGTACACTCGCCAAGGCTTGTAAGAACAACGCCCCTCCAGGTAGAGTTGAGTCAGTACCATCCTTGAACCCTAGACCCCTCAACCCTAGACCCCTAAGCCCTGAACCCTAAACCCTGAACCCTACACCTTCAATCCTAACCATGAACCAGAAGCCTAAACAGAAACAAGGCGGGAATTGCTCCGCTTTCGGCGTGATTTGCCAGATGAACTGTACCGTCCTCAGGTTTCGGACACTGCTTAGGTAGACTCCCCACCTGTAACTGCAACTGTGGTATCATAGGAATACAAGAGGACCCTGAGAAAACCACCATTATCCAGTATACTCACTATGAATTCCTGGGTGGGGGGGTCCACCTAAGGTACTACCATTATGACTACTACTGTTATTATTTCAGTTGTTAGAATTCAACCTATTACTACTATTAATACCACTACTGGTATTATTTTAGGAGGGGCTAGTGCTTAGAGTTCAGGATTCAGGGTTTAGGGTTAAGCTGTGGGAACCGTGGTTTAGTAAGTCCATGTACAGTTGGGTTTCGTGCATGAACAGTAGGATCCTACCACCACTCAACGAGGATTCAGGGTAAAGGGCTGGACAAGCATTGCATTGCAGAAATGCGAAGCTCGCACCATAGTCTTGAATGCGGTTGACCACTGAGATCTGCGTTTAGGGTTTAGGATTCAG